GGGGGGTTGTTGGGACATCCCCTGGACTTGATGGTCTCAGAGGGCTTTGCCAGCCTCAACAATTCTGTGATTCCGTGACCTAAGTCAGAGCTTCCTCATTCAGCAAATTTATTTCAGAGGATCCTGAGAACCCACAGCAGCAATGCCCAGCTCTAGGGACACAGGACTTGATTTTATTGACTATTCTTTAAGACCTTCTGGCATCGCCACTGGAGAGCGACACCTTTGAGACAGAGCACCCCAGAAGGGTCAGTCACGCGCGGTGCAGAGCTCCGAGTGCCTCAAGCTGCGCAATGCCAGTGCTGCCACTCGTAATTCTGCTGTTCTGTAACCCTCTGCCTGAGCTGCCGTTTCTCCCCTACTGTTCCACACTTGTTCTCACAGTCTCGTCCTCATGGCCCTGCACCCGCAGGCAATGACACTGCCAGGCAGGTTCTCTTGGGAAGTAACTGGTACCAGCATGAGAATCTCGCTCCTTCTTTCAAACCCTGGCTTCTTCTGGAGTTTTCAGTTTACAGAAGTACCGAAACGTAATTAACAAAGTAGACAGGAATTACCCCAAACCATGTATCCGCAGAAAAATTTGGCAGCCACTGTGCAACACTCGCATCTAATCTACACATAACGCTCACTTCTCATCCCATGGGACCACTCACCCAGGGTCCTTAAAAGCCTTTGGCACAAAAACCGGCCAAATGCCTTTCAGAAATACAAAGAACACGACAACTGACTTTCTCCATGTCCCTGTGGACTCTTTTAGAACTCCACGGTGCTCTCTCATGAGATCATGTACGCATCTTTCTAAATTCATTCTTTATTATAGTTTGTTTTCCTTGTGCATAGGTCCACCTTAATAGCCCAGGACTCCCACAAACCCTTGTTTGGAACGGGCAGCGCATTTTCCACCTTCCCGTTGCCAAGCTTCAATGCAGCTTTGTAAGAGGTCACCCACCAGAGTTAGCAACAGCCCTGCCTGCCTCAAGCTCTCTTTGGCGTATCACAACCCCCAGCACTGTAACAGTGTCTTTTCCTACTCAAGGATTTGGATTACAGAGACTGGATTGTTTTTCTTGTTTACCTCTAGGTAACTTTTAACACATAACACGCGTCAAGATCAAAATCAGAATTCCTACCCATCGACAGCAATGGAAAAAAAAAGTTACAGAAGTTGCAGAGGAAAACTTCAGCCTTACTCACTTCGTACTTGATCAACAGGTGCCAACAGTGGGAAGAGCAGTCAGACTCTGTCATTTACACCCAAGAAGAGAGCCCTGCGAGGCGGCCGAAGGAAAGCAGCCCTTTGATAAACAGGTCTGAAACACCAACACTTGTTCCGCGCGGCACCGAGGAGCCACGAGCTGCTCACACGCTTCCCCAGCGGCAGCCCCTGGCTGTGACCATTCCGGACAGACCAGACGGCACGACTGCTGTGATCAGAGAAGTTCCTATAACCATCTTTATTTTAAGAGTTTAAAGAGCAACCTTTAATCCACCAAAACTTAGAAAACCTTCCTTGAACACCCAGACAGTAAACCAAAAATGGAATTTGGTATCAGACGTACAAGGGGCTCTTCCGTCTACCTACAGCAGAAACGCGACTCTTTAGTGAGAGTGTGGAAAGAAAGGGCAGTGCCACGTACGTACGTGCTGAATCGGACCACTGGGCAGCAGGACACCGATGCATTATTTAAGGCAAAATAATCTCTAGTGATCGATATCCAAGAGCCACAAGAGTGAATATTTTTGGGCTAATCTGAAGGGCTCGCTCAGTGCCCCAAAATGAGAAAGCGCAGCTGAAGAACTGGAAAATGTCAGGTAGGGATAGAGAACATTCCTTATTTGTAACTTAGGTGTGTTATTTGTCAGGCTTGGTAATAGTTTACAAAACACTAAAAAAAGTTGGGTTTGGAGCCTCTTCCTTGGCCTAGGCCTGCAGAAACAACATCAGAAGGTCTAGACATCTGCGGTCCAAAGAGCAGCTTGACACTTCACTCCTGAGGAGCTTCCTGCAAAGCAGCACCCAACATCACCTATGTCAAGCTAAAAAGACAAAACAGAAAAAGGAGATTTTAGCAGATGAGTGCAGAGGGCATTTCGAAACACCAGCACAGTCAGTTCTTGACCTCCAGCTACACAGATCAACAGAAATCTCCCTTCCTAGAACACAAGGGTCTAAGGAAAGCGAGAAGCAGAGCCGGGTGCTAACAACCAGCCGTGAGAACAGACCTGTCACGCTGGCATAGGCAAACCGGACACTCAGCCTGTCTAGGCAGCCATCAGAAGCTCAGAGCACATTTAATTAGGGCTCTGTTACGCTCGGGGACATCCAGCCTTTCCACAGCTACTGTAAAGGGGCTGCAAAGAGCGTGTTCGAAGGATTCTTCACTGCAGAAATTCCTTACTCCTTCCTTACGCCATAAACTGTTCCCTTACATTCTTATAATCATGGAGAACTCGGCCAGTGAGTTACAATGGCCTCAGCAGCTCAAGAACACAGCTCTAGCACCACAGCAACGACCATAAAAGCTGTAATCAGATGAAAACCCAAGCAAAGTTCTCATATGATATTCATCCACCTAAAGCTTGCAAAAAAACCCCAAAAAACCAATTGCATAGATTAATGAACGGGGAAGGTCCTATCCCATCACCACCCCAGGCAGGAAACAAGAAAGCCTGTCTCCTATTAAAAGGTAACTTGGACAAAGCCTTTGACAAAAACGCTCAAAAAGAAAAATTTAAGGCAGCAGCCATAAACTAAAATGATTTAAGGCAGCAGCAGACAAGCTCCAAAGTCTTTCTGGCTCCAAAGCGGTTGTAGCAAGCGTCTGAAATAATAATTTTATGCATTACAACAATCAAAAGCCCAGACGTCAAGCAAAGTCATTGGCATTTTAACTTTTAAAACAAGATTTGTTTAAAAAAATCCATTTGTGTAGCAGCTAAGCGCTGAACAGCTAGGAAAAAAAAAACATTTCAGAGTTGAAACGGTTACTAACTCTCACAAAAAGTATTAGAACTGCAACAAAACCCCCTTACACTACCCACACAGAACTAAGCAGGCTTATGAGCTACAAGGAAACAAATCCTTCTACACCAAGGCACTTGTCAGTAACTGAACAAAAGGAAAGAGGAAATAAAAAAAAATAATTTTTAAAAAAAAATATTAACTGAAAATAGGCAGTTTTATAGTTAAATCTTGCCTGGTTTGATCATGGTCACACACCGAGCTGGGTGCTCCTTACCTGTCAATCAAAGAATCTCTCATGTTGGTAGCGATGGTGCTTGGCTGAGCTTCGTTCAGCTTGAAGATGCTCTCGATGACCGAGAGCTCGGTGCTGGTCGTGTCCAGCCCGCAGAAGGCGCACCAGTCGTTGACAACCATTCCCGCTGCAATGACCTCGCTGCCCCGATTCACCGTTCCAGCCTGGCCAAAAAAAAAGTGGCAGGAGGGGGCCGGTGACCGGGCACGCCAACTGCGACCGTATTACACGCCTGTAGTGGCAGGCCTCAACTCGCACTCCTGAAAAACTTCTGCCATCAACAAACTTATGAAAAGAAAACTGTGTGGTGTTCAGCAAGATCTAACAAGTAGGAAGCACGAAGGCACAGCAACTGTGAAATTCACAAATCCAAGGAAGCAAGCACGGGATTTTGTTACTTTTTTAAAATGCTGCCTGTGGCCAAACCACAGACAATGTCATGTTCTGCAGGAATCAACTGTCACACCCTAAGTAAACCCAGGGGAACAAAGTTTCAGAAGCAACCTAAAGGTGCTAAACAGCTTCTTCAGACTCAGAAGAGACAGGGAAATTGTCTCGTAAGACCTGGCCTCTTCCAAGCCTTCTTCTCACTTCCCATCTGGCACAGCTCTGCAGAGAAAACAGCACCCAGGAGCCCACGAGTTGTGCAAACATAAACCTGAGAACTAGGATGGAAGGGAGCGGCAAGAGAAAATACAACCCCAGAAATGCCTTACCACAAGTGGGACCTGCAGCAACGAAGACAGTTCATCTTGATCATCGATGGAAGTTTTGGGGTGCACAATTCCTCCTTGGTTACTAAAAACACAGTAACTTCCTACCAGTACTTGATCTGCTACCGTCTGTCTGAAAACCTCAACCTTGAGTACATCTGCCAAGATCTCTTCCGTCT